CTTTTACTCAAGTACTTGATTTGTGTACTTCGTCCACCACTAATTAGAACCCTAATAGGTACAAAAGCATAGCTTTTGAAAAGGTACCGCCCCAGTGACAGCTGCTGTACCTTTATTTCTGAGAGTGTGTTGTACCTCGATTTATTATTCCGCATGTTGTTATTCTAATGGTTCCCATGAACGTCTGTAATGTGTTAAATTCTTTCCTCATGTCATTGAGCACCTCACTTTCATCACAAACTGAGACTCTTTCAAGAAGCACAGAGCGAATCCTAAAAACAATTCCTGTGATGTTTTCAGTCAAACGCACAGTTTCAGATATTGGTGCAGCCAATCCACCAACATCATATTTTCGAATGAAGCGTACTAATTCACTGCCGGCGGCGAAGTATTTACTTAAATAACTGACATCATGCTCTGGGTTATTAATGTCTCTCAGTATTTCCTCAAGACGCCGATTAATGTTTTTCATCATGTTGTTCATAGGAATGATTTTATTCTGAAATTCATTCATTGCAGCTTCAAGGTCTTGTTTAAAATTTGTCTTCATGGACTTTTTCTTCTTGTTCCAGCCTCTCTGACCAATCGCACCACCGGTGACCGCCACTGCTCCTGCTCCTGCAACAAGAGCAGAAGCCCCCAGAGTAACTGGAGCTAAAGCTGCTCCCACCACCATCATGACCCCTCCAGCTAATTCTGCTACTTTTCCATGTCTAGATCCTGTAGTAGCACTTTTGAATTTTTCATCATATGTTTTGAAGATACCAAGCGGATTCTCTAAGCACAGCTGGAGTTGTGGGTAATCTGTCTCAAAGAGTTCAATCAATTCCTCTTCAAGTTGACTAAAAGCAGATCTAGAAAAAACAAAAACATTTCATTAGAACTTATTATTATATTGTGCAATGCGATTCAAACATTTCTATCTATAGTAAAGTTATTAGCTGATATGTTTATTAATCTGAGTTGCTTTAGTTTATTTTACTACTTTTTGTTATGTACAAAAGTTCCAATGATATGATTATCTATATCCAGGGGTGCACATAAGTGGTCCGCAGGTTCGCATGCGCGACCAAAAAATAAAATGCGCTGTATAAATAAGTTCAGAGACCGCGCATTTGCGTACCGACATGGTTGACAGCTGTTAATGCACAATTACCATTTTAGATCGACAAACTGTTAGTGATGTTACGTTCAACACCGAAGCTTCGAAGCTTGTATCAAAAAAACAACACACTTCACATTGAAGAACTGTTTCGGAGCTTGATTCGTTTTGAGAAAAGCATGTGATCTGTGACGTCCGAAGCTTCATTCGCCTGAAAACCACGTGACTGCTTCAGTATCTGGTTCAAACGAAGCGAACCTCAGCGCCATTTCCTTTACATTATATTACATTATAATGTGTTAGCATTGTTTTTTTTATCATAATTTATATATTGACCTCAAAAATGAACTTTGGCCATGAAATAGTCTAAGGACTGAGGCAGAGTTACAATAAACAGATGATACATTTAATTTATGAATTTATATTTTATTTATTTTACTTATTTTAGTGCCAGTACGCCGACACAAATGAATGACTTTGACAATAAACATTATTTATATAAAATATAATAAAACAAAAAATCAGTTGTAGAACCAGATGGGAAACCACTGGCTGTAATGGCGCATAACACTTTGGAAGGTGTTATTTATTTTTATGACCACTAGATGGGCACAGCATAAACCGTTTAAAAAAGCTTCGAGTAATGAACCTTTTTTCCAATACAATTGTGATGAAAGCTTCACTGGTTCAGAACGCTTCACTTCGCCATTACTACAAACTGTACTGTATAAGATTTCTAAACAAACTGAAAGCATAAATCTAGGCTACCCGCTAACGTTTTCAAAGCACAATGCAAAACTGTGACATTTTTGAAAATGAAAAATTCAAATAATTCAAATTAAAAATAATAATAATTAAGGTTCAAATAAAAAAATAAAAAAAATAATAATGATATTAGCATTTTATTTTTAAGTTTACTATAAAATAATTGTATTTGTATTTAATACTCCCTTTTTATTAAGCTAAATAAAGTGCAGTAATATTATCACTATTATTAATTTATTTTTTATAATTATATTTGATGGGTCACACCATGCGTTTCGTGTGAGGACCAAACCAAATCTCCAGGTTCTCATATGAGAACCAGCCTGCAAAACTTATGTGCACCCCTGTCTATAGCGCTTCATAATATAATAATTACATTGTCATTAAAACACCCAATTATTTTTATCCTCTCAATCAAGTAAGAAAATCATAAGAACCTCATATGCTCACTCTCCGGCGGGGCTGAATAAATGATTCCATTGTTGCTGCGATTAAGAAAACTCAACTGAATACATTATCCATATGCATATATCACAATAATACATATAACTATTAAAAAAAAATAGAATTAATAGAAATTTTGTGCAATCAACATTCCTTTCTTATTTAACATTTCCTTTCTAAAATTGTTTTAATTAATTTTTTTTTTTTCCAAGATTATTCCAGTCTGTTAAAATGAAATGGAAATTTTACTTGTTTGGTGTAGTATAGTTCACATTGCCTAGATATTTTTTTAAATTTAGTTATTGACAAAAATGCATTTTCAAGTGTACCAATAAAGTAAATCCTGTTGCAGCTGAATTCTACTTTTATCTGTTGAGTTAAATATCTGCAAAGTAAACAATAGTTTCCTGTGTAGTTTTAACAGTTTTAACAGTTTTCCCTTAAACTACAGTCATCCAACCTAAATGTTTTGTCACCCAGTGTATTTGTGTTTTACAATTTATAATGATTTGTATCAGTGGCGGTTCTACATTGAATTACACCCTGCGCGAGACCACCTTCGAGCAAAAACAGTTATATTTTATTATAACAACATAAGTGAAAGAGAAAATTATATTTCTCAATTGCACAAATCCTTCATTAGAACATTTGAAAAACACACTTAAGAGAATCCAGTTATTTAACGTAATAATTGGAGTAATAATTGGTAACATTTTAATAATAACATCTAATATTTCATAGGAATATTGATGCATAATTTATTTCCATATTCACTTGTGTCTCCCAAAATGCCTGATAAACATGATTTAAGTCCTGATGTCCTCTACAATGGGTCGCGGCGGCGGCGCAGAGGAATTTTTTATTTTTTTGCTCGTGCCGCCCCCCATGTATCATGAAAAAATGCCGCCCCGGGCGGCTGCCCGGTTCGCCCGTGCCAAAAACCGCTACTGATTTGTATTGTGAGGAAGACACTTAAAAATTACTTTAATTTCAAACTCTGAATTTAATTAATTTTAACTAAAAAAAGACAAGAGTTAAATGACAAACAAATGCAATAACAAGATACAACTGAAATTAACTGTGCTTTAAGTTTTTCAGGTAGGTATAACAGTAATATTCAGGTGCAGAGATACCACAGAAACTGAATCATCTATTTAACTTTAAAATAACACTGATTGGTCTTCAATGTATAAATAAGAATATGAGCATATAGCATAAAAGCCCAAAACATCTGGGTTACTCCAAAAAGGTGCAATTAAGATACACACACACGCACACTCTGCGCCAGCGATAGAAACATATTATGCACCTAATATTTTATTGTAAATTTTGATTCAATTGAAAAATTAATCAAATCTTTTTTCAAAAATATTTGTAGTTAAAACTAAACACCCGCCAGTTGTATCAAAAAGCAGCCAAAATTTTATCAACCTGCCCAATTAATTTTTTTCCGGTCTGACGTTACCAAAAGAAGCTCAATTGGGGGGAAACCGCCCAATCTGGCAACACTGTCTGTTGAGCAGCATATCCTCCAGCATGGTCTGTCAGCCATCTCTCCTCTCATCCTGTGATCAGTCAAATCTGACTCCTGCAGCTCGTGTTGGATGCAGGGTTGTCAAGTCCGCGTTTTTTTCCCATGGAATTGGGCTACTTTTAAACTGTTGCCTTGGGTTGATATTCCCCCGTGAGTTAAAGGTTTGAAATGTTGCACAAATTACATTTGACTGAAATGCTTGTATTGAAACATGCATTCTACCCGTCGCTAGTGAGGTGAAAGGTGGTAACGCTTATAGGGGCCCACGGCTTCTAACTTACACGTAAGTTTTGTTTCTCAACTGTTTACATTCACTTAAAAGCCTATGCACTAGTCAACATTTGAAGTGGATCAAAACCTTCATCAAAGTTGTCCTAAAACCTAAAACCAAAATGTGTCTGTCTTAGGACAACTTTGATTAACTTTTCTGATCCATTTCAAATGTTGACTACTATATAGCGACAATCTTTAGTATAAATCGACTTTTTACGTGAATACTTATCGAGTGCGCAAGTACTGAATTAAGCACATGAATGTTTCAAATTGTAAGACTCAAAAGCATGTGCAAATGATACATTCCGTCATCTGTCCCGAGTGTCTTTCACACTGAAATATAGTTTTAAATGGTAAGACTCGCCAGTTGTATCAAAAAGCAGCCCAAATTTTATCAACCCGCCCAACGCATTTTTTTCCGGTCTGACGTTACCAAAAGAAGCTCAATTGGGGGGAAACCGCCCAATCTGGCAACACTGTCTGTTGAGCAGCATATCCTCCAGCATGGTCTGTCAGCCATCTCTCCTCTCATCCTGTGATCAGTCAAATCTGACTCCTGCAGCTCGTGTTGGATGCAGGGTTGTCAAGTCCGCGTTTTTTTCCCATGGAATTGGGCTACTTTTAAACTGTTGCCTTGGGTTGATATTCCCCCGTGAGTTAAAGGTTTGAAATGTTGCACAAATTACATTTGACTGAAATGCTTGTATTGAAACATGCATTCTACCCGTCGCTAGTGAGGTGAAAGGTGGTAACGCTTATAGGGGCCCACGGCTGTGTCGGTGTCCTTAATGTTAATCCAAGAAAATAAAAGAAAGTAAATCACTCACTGCTCCTGACTGAATAAATTTTTAGTTTTAACAAGAACTAATCTATTAAATTTATAGAGTGACGACTATGCAATGCTATTTTACATTTGATTATTTCTGTACCTGAATACCTAAAAAAGTGGGAAAAAAACAAAAACAAAACAAAAAAACCCTAAACATCTTCTATCTTTGTTCTGTTTATTTATTTGTGCTATTTACATTATTTTAGATTGTGCTGATTACATTTTTTTGCGTGTTTGTTCAGAGGCTGAGAAGCTGTATAGCTCAATACTTTAAAGAAATAAACAAAAAGTAGAACTTGTAAAATTCTGAGAAGCTTAAGAATCTGCCATCTTTCGTTTTCAAAATGGTGCATTTAAAATGTATTGTGAAGTGTTAAAGTGAATTAATTATGGCAAGTTGACTATTTATTAAAAATGTCCTTATAGGCTTAAAAAAATGTAAACCATTAAACTCATCCAGATATTGCAAGCATTTCATAATGTGTTCAGGATCTGTCTGATTTGAGCTGGGTTATTTCTAGCCGTTTACTGAAGGCGAGGTCTGATGTCTGCATGGGGAATCTGTCCAGCCATTGACCCAGAAATTAACTACACCACTGGTTTAACCAGAGGTTATGGTGGTAATACCATCTAAAATAACAAGTGTGACATTTTTAACACATATTACAATATTTACAAGTTGTTTAGTTATTTCAAATGAAGTCTAATTAATATCAGTAATCTTTGTTTCGCCCCAGTGTGTTTAGTTTTGGTTTCGTTTGGATCGCAAGCATTATTTCCATGCCATTCATTTGTAAGGCAGTGTCACAGGACTGTCAGGCCGTTGCACAGGGATGTAACAGGGTCTGACGGTCGGCCATTTTAAACTGCCATTACTCAGCCTGCTAGCATGCTAGCATAAAAACTGTTAACATGCAATCAAGGAATTTCAGTAACTTTTTTAGACATGTTTTGGATTTAAAAGATTTTCATTATTTTCTGGGATGTTTTACCGTGACAGGGCCTGACCCTTTAGCTTGTCCTCCTCAAAAAAAAACATACAAAAACAAGCTTAAAATCATACAATTCAATGACAGAACTCACCCTTGATCAGTGCCAGCTTCACCTCAGTCAAATTATGTCACTTCCTTTGAGTCATACCTTTAAAGGCGCATTACACACATTTTATGTTGAGTTTTATGTAAACGTGACAGGACTGACCGAAAACATGGGGACAGTTGTAAAATAGTATGTATTTGTAGAATTTATGTATAATTTCATGTTTTAATCAGTTGATGTGAATGATAACAACTTAAACTTGTTATTGATGGAGTTTTTTTCTAAATAACAGTTTTTAGCATAACAAAACTATGAAAACTGTAGGTCAAATTTGGCTGAGGACAAGGACAAGGACAGGATTTGTAATTTTCCAAAGTGTTTTTAAT